ATAATAATAATAATAATAATAATAATAATAATAATAATAATAATAATAATAATAATATATTATTATTATTATTATTATTATTATTATTTCAGGCTTGAGCAGTCTCCTTCATTTGTTTTTGTTTTTTTTTCTTTTCTTCCCCTCCTTCACTTTCCTGACATTCTTTAAGGGAGTTATTGATCCCTTAAAAAATTTTATCCTATTTTTTGTTTGCCTTTTCCTCAATTTCTTTAAGGAATTTTTTTTCATTTCTTCTTTAAGGACCTCTATCATCCTCATAAAGTTGGTTTTAAAGGAGTTTCCTTGTGCTTCAGCTGCACTGAAATAAATATTCAGGTCTTGCTGTCTAGAACAGACAGCTGGGCTCTGGTGGTGCCATATTGCCCTGGCTGTTGTTGATGGTGTTCTTACACTAGGCGTCTGAGTTTGGGGTGATTTATAGGTCTGGGTGCTGATTTCTGAGTTTGTCTTTGTTGGATGGGTGTTCTGTCTCTTGGCTCCTGTTTCCTTTTGGTCTTCTGAGCTTTGTGGCCTGGATTTCTGGCAGCCTGCTTGGCTTCTGCCCTGGCGGGGGCTGGACTTCGGCAGCTTGCCTCGTTTTTTTAGTGTACCAGGGGTTCTCTGTTCTTCTGGTGTGGCCTGCACCTGAGCAGCAAGCAGTGAGGAAGGGTTGGGGAGCCGAGTCCAGGCAGTGGGGCAGTTGAGCTGGCAGGGGCTCACACACCTATCCCTCTGACATGCTTTTGCACTACGCTACACACACTGAGCTGCTGTCCCCAGTCACGTGCTTATTAGTGTGCGCATGCACGCTGATGACACTTACATACTCGTCACATTTCCTTTTCTCCAAATGGCTGTTGGTGAGACTCCGTCTGCTTTCACGGTCAGAGATGAACTTGCTGGAAAGACACAGAACATGTTTAACTTTACGTTAGTGACTCTGAGCTCAACATCAACACTAAATGATTTATTTCCCACAACACAGTGGGCACAACAAACTTGAGAAGTTGTCAGTTGATTGCCCAAAATCATTGTATTCAACATCTCCCCACCGTGTCTGTGTGTGAATGTGTGTGGGTCTCAGTGTCTGTGTGTCTGAATGTGTGTGTCTGAGAGAACATATATGTGCAATGAACATTACTGACTTATCAAATAAACTCTAAGCGTTCCCAGGCAGGTCCTTTGCCTCATTCATTTTTATATCTCTCACTCTACAATCCACAAAGAAAATAGTTGCTTATCTTGAATGGGATGAAAGACTGCTCTCAGTTATAAAAAGCTATGCATTTTGAATCATTTTCAATGTAAACTAAAACACCACACACAATGTTAAGTTAGCTTCTATGCAGACTTTTTGCTAAGTAGAAAACTAGATAAAACCAAGACTACTCTGCATCTGGTGCTGGAAGGAACCTGGAGGCAAGGTTCCCCTAAGCTCAGATCCTACAATATAGAGCAAGACCCGGATCCCTTACAAAAAGGACAGCAACTATTTCACCATCAAACATCCGGTCAGCACCCGCTCTGTGGAGGACACAGGAGCAGACCAGGGGACTACGGAAGATCTGCAGGCCATCAGGGTCCAGACTGGAAAGCCACCATAGGGAAAACAGTCCAGAGTTAAGAACCAAAGCCAGAGATTTAAGAAAGTATGTCAGTCTCAGAATTTGAATTCAGATTCTGACTAGGGCCAAGGCCTGGCACATGACCTCACAGTTCTCATCTGTAAAATGGAGGAGCACTATCACGCTGCAGTTGTGGAGGATGGAATATGAATAGGTCTAAAGCTCAACTCAAACCATGAGTGACAGGTCAGCCCTCTCCAAGGGAAGCAGCATAAACTGGGATCAGGTAAGTCCAGATAGTGGAAGAAACCTCAGCATGCAACACAGACATAGCGACACAGAAGAATGTAAAGTGGTCTCAAGACTCACACAGTGCATTCGGGGTTAACTTCAGAGTCGAACAATATAAACTTGTAATCCATAAAAATCATGCATTAAAAGGAAGTGTCTGGGCCAAGTGGCGGTAGCACACACCTGTACCAGCACCTGGGAGGCAGAGGCAGGTGGATCTCTCTGAGTTCGAGGCCAGCCCGGTCCACAGGGCAAGTTCCAGGACAACCAGGGCTACACAGAGAGACCCTGTCTCAAAAAAACCAAAACAGAAACAAAAAAGCAAACAAAAACAAAACAAAACAATTCACAAACTGATGCTCGTATCTTTTGTTTTTGTTGTTTGTGTGAGCAGGCCGTACATGTGTGTCCCTGTGTGCATGGCATGTGCGGCACAGTGCACATTTGAAGCGAGAGGACAATGATATGGAGCCACTTCTCTCCTTCCATCTTTACCTGTGTTCCAGGGATTGAACTTGGGTCACCAGCTGGGCACAGAAAACGCCATTCCCCACCGAGCCATCTCACTGGCTCCTCTTGTGTGAGTGTGTGTGTGTGTATAAGTATGTGTATACACACACACACGTATATATACAAATGAATATACATATAGATGTATATAATTTTTTTTCTGAGGCAGGGTGGTTTCTATGTGTATAGCCTTGGCTGTCCTGGAACTTGTCCTGTAGAACTCCCTTTGTAGAGCAGGCTGGCCTCAAACTCACAGTGATCCACCTGCCTCTGTCTCCCCGAGTGCTGGGATTACAGGCGTGAGCCATGTATATTCCTAAAGTGTTTCAAGAATGAATTTTGGCCAGTGTGCTGGCTAGTTTTATGTCAACTTGACAGAAGCTAGAGTCATCTGAGAGGCGGGAACCTCAGTTAAGAAAATGTCTCCATAAGATCTGGGCTGCAGGCCAGCCTGTATGGCATTTTCTTAATCAGCGATTTATGGGGGAGGACCCAGCCCATGGTGGGTGGTGCCATCCCTGGGCTGGGGATTCTGGCTCCTGTAAAAGGGCAGGGCAGCAAGCCAGTAAGCAGCACTCCTCCATGGCCTTTGCATCAGCTCCTGCCTCAGAGTTCCTGCACTGTTCGAGTTCCTATGCTGAGTCCCTTTGACGAACAGTGATGTGGAAGTGGAAGCCAAATAAACCCTTTGCTTCCCAACTTGCTTTCTGGTCATGGTGTTTCATCATAGTGATAGAAACCATGTCTAACACAGACATTCTAGAGAAATACAACTACCTGGTCATCGTCAGATTAAATCACAGTAAATTTTTCATTAGTAAATTTAAAGCCACCTGAATCTAATTTAAAGAAACATCTTTAAACTGTGCTTAGTATTTTATGCACTTTTTTAAAATGATGCTACATTTCATAGTAAAAATTTTTGTTTGTTTGTTTTAGCGAATTGTAGGTATCAGTAGTGATGATCTTATTTATCTTCCTCCTTTCATCGTCAATTCAAAGAACCTGGTTCTTTCTGCCATTATCTAAGTTTGTTTTATTAGAATAAGGCAAAGGCTGCTATCTATGCACATATGACAAATTTACTCTCAGACTGTTGCTTGCTAGAAGATGCAAGTCTGCAGAGCCTGCTCTACTACTTGGGGACGAACAAACCCGTCTCCTGAAACTCAAATGATCATGTGCCAATGGAGAAAAGACCACAGCAGCTAACACTGGTATAGGAATGATGGAAATGTCCAAAGTGTAGATGAGATTAGAATCGAGAGAAGTCAAAAGCAGTATTGGGTGGATAGAGGCAGCACAAACGCAGAAGCAGAAGCTGGGCGTGTCCAAATAAAAGACTCCTGCTTCCCTGTTGCTACTCTGTAGACTCAACCAGGCTAATTTTAATAACAAGCTTGGGTCTGTGGGGTCCCGGTCCCCATTTGCCTTTCTAATGGAGGATGCTTGTTTTCTGAGGAGGATTTCCATCATTTTTTTCAAGCAAAGAAAAAGCTTTGCTTTTCTCCCAAATAAATCAAAGCACTAATAAATCAGCTTTGTTTGGGCAGACCTCAGTTCCAAGCCTGTAGTTCCAGCCTGCAGCTGATGGCAGAGGTGATCTGGGCAGAGAAGAGGTGAGTGGCCTGAGAGGGCAATATTTACAACCTGTGGGTAGAGAATCCTGGGGTGGGGGGCAACACAATTGACCTTTTCACAGGGGTCACATATCAGATATCCTCCTTATCAGTTATTTACATCACAATATATAAATAACATTGTAAGCAAACTCCTAAACAGGAGTGCGCTGACAGGAGGCACTGCTGACAGGCTCAAACACACTAGTGAAGTGGCTGGATACCGAGGCCTCAGGAGAACAGGAAAAATGATACAAACTTTCAAATGGCGACCCCTAAAGCACACGAAGACCCTGATTCTGTCTCTCCTGCCTCACTCACTGTGGCAGGACTGTAGACCGCTCAAGACTCTCTGCTGGTGCTGTGTTTTTCTGATGCTGTGAAAAATTCAAGGCAACTTATCAAAGAAAGCACGTAACTTGGACCACTGTGGCAGGTACTGTGGCAGCAAGCAGGCAGGCATAGTGCTGGAGCAACAGCCGAAAGCTTAGACCTGGAGCCACAGTCAGGAGCATGAGGCAAAGAACAAGAATGGTGTAGGCTTTTGAAACCTCAAAGCCAGTGGCACGCCTCCTCCAACAAGGCCACACCTCCTAACCCTTCCCGAACAGTTCCACTGACTGGAGGCCCAAGCTTTGAAACATATGAGCCTGCTGGGGGTCATTCTCAGTTGAACCACCACAGCTGACCTCTCCACTGGGTACTTCAAATGTTGAATTTGGTTTTGCCTCAGTGTTCCAATCACAGCTTCTCCCGATGTGGCTCAAAAGGATCCTCCTAAGTGTGGTTGTGGCTGTAAATGAAGACAAGTAAAAACCAAAAACAGAGCAGCAGCCGGAATCTGCTCTCCAGAGTGTCACCTGCCTGATGTCTGCACCAGCCAATTCTGACCCCTCAAACTGTCACAGTGTCCTGACTTTCCAGTGTGAACTGAGTTTTCTGACCTATTTACTACCTGTAGCACACACGGTGCCCTAAGCTCATCAAGGCATCAGACCATTTCAGTGTTGCCTAGCTCCCAGAGGGTGCACAGCCACTCAGAGGAGCCTTCTACTAACTAAGCAAGCAGCTTCCATTAGTAATTAGTCATTAGGAACTACCTTAGGCTACAGGGAAATTTAGCTATGTAAGACGGAAGTATTTCATTTCATTTATTTATTATTTATTTGCTATGTAAGATGGAGGCACCTAATTACACTTGTGTGTGTACCGGCAGGTGAAGAAGGGCAAAGGGCAACTTTTGGTAGCTGTTTCTCTCTTTCAACCATGTGGGTGTCAAATTCCAGTTATCATGGTTAGCATTGCAGGCTCTAGAGCAGTGGCTCTTAACCTGTGGGTGGTACCCCAAGTGGGGTCATGTGACCCTTTCACAGGGGTCGTATATCAGATATCCTGCATATCAGTTATTCACATTACAACTCACAACAGTAGCAAAATTCCAGCTATGAAGTAGCAACAAAAATAACTTTATGGTTGGGGTCACCACAACATGAGGAACCGTATTAAAGGGATGCAGCATGAGAAAGGTTGAGAACCACTGTTCTAGAGTGAAGTGATTTTTAAAAGTCCCTTTATTCTCTTTATTGCCTTTTCTTCTCTCTGGTTTTAAAATCTTTACTTTGTAAACTTGAGAAAAAAGGGAAAGAGAAACCAACCTTTCTTTTTTTGTAATGGAAAATTCCATTCAAACAACTAGGCCAGGCGGCTTCCTCCACGCGTTTTATCTCACCGTCTTTCTAAAAAGGCAATTGGCTGCTTAAAATCACTGACCTCTGGCACTGAAACTGACATAAAACTTATTTTTATTGACTTAGAAAGTGCTGTGGGAGAAGGTATCTTTGACAAGTGACCTTAAGACGACAAACTTATTATTAAAAAGAGTTTACACACTGGGTCAGTCTGTACTCATAAAGTGAAATTTGATAGACCATCAAGTAGTCAACTGCTCTGCGAATAAAACCATGAAAAAAAAAAAAGCCTACAACAAATGATTTAGTGACAAAGCCTTTAAAATGGACTTTGGCATCATATTCACACACAGTGCGAGAAGCAGCGAGCAAGGCAGAGGTTTTATGTGAAATTAAAAGGAAAGGAGCAGACCGGCTAAGGATGTTGTGCAACAGAAAGAGTCTTTGGACTGCACCCTCCACAGTGGGGTCCTTGCACTATGGTGCTCGGTCTACGGACGGACAGTATGGGAGATGAGGAAGCATGAAACTGTTGAACTTAAATGCTGGTACCCAGTCCTTTCCCTGATGTGTAGATACTGTGTGCAGAGAGAGAAGGGAAGAAGAAACAGATAAAAAGGGATCAAGGCCAGTGTCGTGGTGTTTGTAACACTAGCCCTCTCCCTCAGGTGGGAGAACTGAGTTCCAACCCGGGCCGACCTGGGCTACACAGTGAGTTCTAGCTAGCCTGGGCTACAGAGCAAGTCTCTTGTCTCAAAACATATATGTTATATAAAAATGTATAAATAATACATAAAATAAATAATTTATATGGGGGTATACACACACACACACACACACTCACACATATATAATGAGACCAGGACACATGGAAAGGATATCAGCAGGCATATAAAGAGAAGGAAACAAGAAGCCTGAAAGACTGAGTGTGGAAGAAACCGTATCTGGCGCCAAACTCCACTGACCACAGGACAGGGGAGACCTGCCCTGTAAAGGACAGAAGCAACAAAAGAATTTTCTGACATGCTTTCCCTGAAAGCACAGAAAAATTAGGAAAAAAAAAAGCAAGGATAACTTTTCAAAGGTTCTCTCAAGTTGACTCTGGGTATAATAATAATGACACCAAGCTCTTTTAAAAATGAAGCTTAATCAAACCTTGTTCCTGGTTCATAATAAATAATTACAGGAGTAACAAAAGGCACATCAGTGGGAATGCACGCTCAGATTTCTGGACACGTTTAGGATAACCTACAAATATTTCACCACACTTAGGCCAGCAATACAGCTGTCATTAAAACTGAAAGCAAGTCATTACTCTGTGGGGCGGAGAAGAAGAAAGTGCTCAGTAAATAGAGAGGGCGACAGTTTTACTGACGCAGACACTTCTCAAACTAAGAGGCTTAGAGCGATCAGGCCAGACACTGGGCCAAGGGCTCTACATGAATGTGGCTCATCTCTTTTCCCAACAATGAGCTGGGCTTGATATTACTTTAGAGAAATTAAACAACCCGATTGAAGTTATGTTGCTAATACCTGAACTGCTGAGCTAGAATTTGAACCTAAACAGGTGACTGTCCACACAGCCTGTGTTTTATTTTTTGTTTGTTTTTTGAGACAGGGTCTCTCTGTGTAGCCTCAGCTGTCCTGGACTTGCTTTATAGACCTGGTTGACCCCAAACATAGAGATCCACCTGCCTCTGCCTCCCAAAGTGCTGGGATCACAGGCGTGTGCCACCATGCCCAGCTTCCAGCCTGTGTTCTTAATCTACCAAATGCAAAGCTTTGCTTATTCCCTGACAGCCCTGGCGCCTGTCGCAGACAGCTAGGTGTTCCTCTGAGAGAAAAATCACAGAAATTCTGTGACAGCGCCAGGATTCAATAGAGGACCAACCCCAAAGCTATGCTGTCTCTTTCCATTCCTCCTTCATCCTCCTCTCTGTCTTTTCATCAACAATTTGCCAGTCCACCCTGAATCCAGGTACTATGATAAATGCAGTAATATCAAGATGATTACGATAATCCTCTTTCCCAGGGATCCCATCCACAGGAAGTATTAAGAGCTGGCTACTCAGTTTGGTTCCCGAACAGTATCAGAAACATCATTCCTCCATCTTACTAGAAGACAACTCTCAGGACCCACTCTAGACTTCCTGAATTAGAACCTGCAGTTTAACCAGCTTCTCAGTGTTTCACACATACACTGACATGTCTGACGAAGGTCTAACAGGCTACTTATAAGGCTGGTCATTCCAAGCATAAACTTCTCACTATCTGGCCAAACTTAGGGCATTAAAAACAAACAGAAAACAACAACAATAAAAAAAAAAAACAACAACCAACAAAACACATGGCCTGGAGTAACAGCAAGCATTTGAATGCCCAAGTGGCTCTAGCCTGTGATTAATTCAACACCCAGGCTTTCAAACAGGGGCCGAGCATTGGTTCAGGCAAAGCTATGATCCAGATAATAGTCAACCAGATCAATATTGTCTTCGATGTTTTTCTCTAGTTGCCTACAAAGAGGCACTGATGGGAGCAGTTCAGTGCCTGGGAACTCTTCTTCGATTGGCATAATTGGCCCCAACCTTTCCACACGTGAGCTAGCTACAGGAAGAGTGAATAGCAGGCAGTCAGAAAGCCCTGAGTTCAATTTTTAGTACCGGCAAAACAAATGAACAAATAAATAACAAATCCAGAAATGAAGCAAGAATTATGTAGGTAAAGGAGAAGAAATAAAATGAGGCAAAAGAAAAAGAAATGCAAGGCACTGATTTTGAAATAGTGAGAGAGCGCGAGACACAGAGAGAGAGAAACAACCCCGAGAAACATCAGCTAGAGTGTCCCTGCACCAGCTACGGGCTAGTCCGTCTGTGGGGAAGTGAGCTCACGCCGCCGGAGGCCCACGTCTAGGTGAGGAGGGCTGTTCCTTCCACCTACTGCAAGTGACAATCACATAGAAAGCCAACAGTTTATAAGTAGAACTTATAAAATTCAGTGTTACAAATGACTCACTTTAAAGACCTCAAGGTAACACCGCTTTAAGAAAGTAGCTTTGTTATAAAATCAAAATGTCCTACTTACTACCCTGAGGTGGAGGTCAGCGGTGACTACAGAACAGCCCAAGAGCACAGTGCACAAACAGCATGGAACTATTAAAACCCAGGCTTTCAAACAGGGGCCGAGCATTGTATCAAACAGAAGGACAGAGTGACAGATTTAGACTGGCCGGGATGGTGCCTTGGTTTGCAAATTTTCTCTTATTTGCAGGATGCTTGCTTTGAGTGATCCATGACAGTATAAACAAGACACTTGGATTTAAGAAATGGATTTAAGCTCTGTGAGTTCAAGGCCAGCCTAATTTACTTAGTTCCAGAGTTCCAGGTCAGTTAGGACTACATAAATAGACCCTGTCTCAAAATAATAATAATAATAATAATAATAATAATAATAATAATAATAACAACAACAACAACAACAATAATAAATGGCAGTTAACAACAACAACAACAATAATAATAAATGGCAGTTAACAACAACAACAACAATAATAATAAATGGCAGTTATAAGGCCAGAGAAATGCTCGATGCTCTTCTGGAGTACCCAAGTTCAATTCCCAGCTCCCATGTAATGAGGCTCAGAACTGTAGGTTAATAACCCCAGCTCCAGGAAACCTGACTCCCTCTTCTGGTCTCACAGGCACCTGCAGCCACAGGCACATACTCCCACACAGACACTCCCATATACATGATTAAAGAGAAAAGAAAAAATGGAAGTTACTATTATCACTCAAAGACATGGAAGAATCCAGTAAATTCGATTCCAATAAAAAGAAACATCACCTAGCACTGTAAACACACTTGGGCAGTAAGGAGGAAGTGATATATTAGAGGCTGAACCTTCCCTGTGGGAGGGAATAGGGATCTGTGTGAATAGTGACAGTCCTGGGTCGGGCCGTCCATGGCATGCTCTATCGCACGGACTTCACACTGTCAGAGACGATCTCTGCAAGGACGCCCGCTTGTGACTATGTTCTTATCCTCCTCATCCCTGTTTCCTGGTGGCTGTAGCAAAGTGTGTCACTGATGACATTCTAACAGACTGGTGAGATGGCCTGGTGGTAACAGGCCCTTGCCACCAGACCTGACCATGATCCCTGGAATCCACATGTTGGAAAGAAAGGACCAACTCCCGAGGGTTGTCCCCTGACCTTTGCATTCCTACCAAGACATCACACAGGCCCAAGTAAAATTTCTTAATTTTAACTGCAGGCACCGCTCTCTACTGGACTCCTGCAGAGGGCAGGCTTCCTGCTAAGAATCCATAAAAACTGGATGAAAAGTCCCCATGTCCCAGGGTGATCTCAAATCATTTCAAACCAACACATTCGGTTCTGTCCTGGTAATTTAGATATCTCAGACTCAAGAGGGGGAAGGACTCGTTCAAGGCCAGCCCTCTCCCCTCCCTGCTCTCTACTCCCTCCTCCCATTCCTTTTTTTCCGTCCCTCACCAACCTCTCCCCCTCCCCCCGTGGAATATTTCTCTCCCACCGTCTTTCACAGAGACTTTTGCCTTTTGGGCCTATTGACCACTGTTGTCATTTGAAATCCATACTTCAAATGATGTTCAGAACAATGAAACCTTGTGGTTTTTACTCACTTGTACTAACATGCAAATGCAACTTGGATGGTTTCTCAATTAAAATGCGTAGCAATGGTTACAGCACACACTTGGATCTGAGATGTGATGAAACTCCGTGGTCTAATTCCCAGGCACGGAGCTCTGAGAAGTCTGGGCTGGTTGGAGTCCAATGTATCTATACATTTTCATTAGACTCGACTGAAAGTTCTGAGAGGATGAATAAATTACTTTCCTGTCCCCCTCATCTGCCATTCCAGACTATGCCCAACAGATGTCACGTCAGAAATTCAAATCGCATCTTCAAACGCAGCGTAACTTCAGTAAATGAATAATTCACCACAATAACTGAAGGCCAGAGCAATTCTCTGGAGTCCTTCCCGCAGTGGGCGGCACTTGGGGAAAGGCACTCACCTATTTATCTGGCCGTTTTCCACCTCGGTGAAGTCGTTAGAGTCGTTGCTGACGTTGTCGTCCTCGGGCACTGTCATGTTCTGCAGCTCCGTTAACTCGAGGCCACTTTTGAAATGCATCATATTCATGCGTCCACAGCCAAAAGATCAGCCCAGGTTTCTTCTGTTCCGAGGGTCTTCAGAAGCAGGCAGCAGCAAGTACAGATGTCTGAGACCCCTAAAAACACAGCAAAATGATGACTGAATCGATGGAGGTCAGCACTGAGGACACACAAACCATTGTAAAAGAGCAAATACCAAATGTAGCGAAAATGCCACTTCTAGGCTTTTGCTACCAGAAAACAACACACTTACCTCAAAGTTTTACGTGTTTTGCACACTTTGCTCCACTTTCAACGATAGTGTCCCGTCCCACAACCTTCTGCTCACACCCAGAGAAACCTGACTTTAGCAGCAGGCAATATACGCACTCCCTCATGAGCCTGTGTTCAAAATGAGAGCCAAGGGCCGGCGAGATGCAAGCCTGAGTGCCTGAGTCCAGTCCCCATGACCCACATGCTACAGTCAAAGAGTCGGCTCCTGTGGCAGCCTCTGGCTTCCACGTGTGTGCTGTGTGCCCCCAACCATAAACAGAAGATTTAAAACCTAATAAGCAACTAATTAAACGAAAATGATTTGGTGATTTTAACGTGCTTGCTCCCAGGACACAGGGGTTTAGGCCAAAGGCACAAGTGAGAATGCAAATCTCCAGTAAATGTCATCACCGAGGACCAGCCTACGACGGGGACAAATTTTATCACGGAATTTAGCAAATAGTGTATACGTCAACTGCAAGAGATTAAATCAATCTCTTCAATGAAATCACTCCACGTCAGGGAATTAGGGAATTAAGAACTCATACTCAGAGGATTTCGGTTAATCCACCTGCTCTTCTATTTCCTCATCAGAGATGAGAGATGCTCACGGCCTCATATGGACCGGGACGTACGGGAAGGAATTTGGGGACACAGCATCAAAAATCAAAAGGATGAACACAAAGGCAAATGAAACTTGAAATGTGAGGCCAAAGCAGGGGTCGTGGCACAGGCCTGTGGACAGGAGGGGCTTTGCACAGAAGCATGGCTCCCTCACTAGGCTAGTCTCAAGTGTCACTTCAAGGACATCTTGGAACGGCACAACACGTCAAAAAGACATAACGCCAGAATCTAAGGCCTAGATCAGCGGTTCTCAACCTTCCTAATGCTTCGACCCCTTAATATAGTTCCTCATGTTTGGTGACCCCTTCCCCCCCTAACCTTATAAGGTTATTTTCGATGCTGCTTCATAACTGTTAATTTTGCTGTTTTGAATTGTAACATAAATATCTGATAAGCAGGACATCTGCTATGACACCCGTGAAAGGGTCGTTCAACCCACAAAGGGGGCGTGAGCTACAGGTTTCGAACCACTGGCCTAGGCGAATACACTGAGTGCATTCAAGCAGCCGAACCCCACTCTCACCTCTGAGCCTCCTTTAGTGAAAACTGGACCAGAGAGCAGGCTGGGTAATTTCTAGACTCGTGACATTGACTCTTGCTTCTAAAACTGCCCGGCAGGCGGCTGAGGTGAGAAAGGGGGGTGAAGTTTCTAATTTTGATGAGGACTTTCCCTCGCTTCAAAGTAGAAGGTAACCGGGTACCAGGTGGGGCTTTTCTACGAACAGAAGAGGTCTGGCGTCTACGGTGTGAAGTTGACCTTTCGCATCTGCGAGTGCGTGTGCACAGGAGAGTGAGTGCGTGCTCAAGTGAGTGTCCGTGTGTGCGTGCACCAGTGCAGAATACAATCTGCAGTAACTTGTCATGGAGGGAAATGAACACGACAGTGGTTTCAAAAGCCCCACCCACTACACCTGCTACAACCCGTCAGTACAAGTTCATCAAGTGGGACAATGTTTGGAGGGTATAAAATAAGTATTCTTGAAGCTTGACACGTTCCTGAAGATGAAAACTAGAGAAGGGGCTGAAGCAATGGCTCAGCGGTTGAGAGCACTGCCTGCTCTTCCTGAGTCCCAAGTTCAATTCCCAGCAGCCAAATGGTGGCTCACAACCACCTATAATGAGATCTGGTGCCCTCTTGTGGTTCACAGGTGTACATGAAGATAGAGCACTCACATACTTCAAATAAATACATAAATGAATAAAAAAAGAACTCTGGAGAAGAAACAGAAACGGCGGATAACCCCTCATCTCACTCGGGCTGAGCTTGGGAATACTTCCTGCCCAAATGATCACTTACTTATTTAAGTACTAAATGATGATGAAGTTTTAAAAACGTTGAAAATACCAAACTTCCAGGGACCTGAGACAGTGTTATAAGAAAGTTATTTGGACTGGACCATGAATCTTCATTTTTTTCTGAGAGTAACACACACTTGACAGAGGCTCTAGAACAAACATAACAGAAATTCTACCACCTAAAAATAGGCCGCTGAGACTCCCTCACTTTCTCCTCCTCGTTTTCATTTCTTTTTTCTTCCTTGTCTCCTTTTCCACCCCCACAACTTCCCTTTTGGTTTAACACTGCAGAGCTAAGACTGCTTTTAACCTACTCTTTTCATTGAGTACCAGACTGTAAGGGCGCTAAAGGACAGAAATGTTTTTCTAAGCTGTTGGTCCTGGGGACATGGCTCAGGAGTAAATCATAAAGACCTGAGTTCGAATCCCCACGGAAAAGCTGCACACACTGTTTGTAACTGGAACCCCAGAGCTGGGGGTGGGACTGGGAGAAGCGGATCCCTGTAACTCCCCAGCCAGCCAACCTGGTTGAACTGGTGCGTCCCAGGTTCAGTGAGAAAATCTGTCTCACGCACTAACGTGGAAAACAGATGGAGGAAAACACTCAAGGCTGAGCTTTGGCATCCACACGCATGCGAGTGAGCATGAGCACACAGGAATTTGTGCACACACATGTACAGGCCTTCGGACACAAGCACACAGACCACATGCAAATGCAAAACCGAAGGTCAGTTCCTCGCTAATAGTGCAGGCTTTGTGAGAAACAGCACCTTACCAATGGAGGAAAATGTGTCAAAGGGTTCTCTGTTCTCTCACAAGCAATGAGCATCACCACGCGAATCACTGTACGTTTTCCAGACTTTTCTATGAAGATGCCTCATACAAGCACCCCTTAAATCACTGCCAAATAAAGGAATGAAAATGTACATGTGCAAGAAAATGGGATTCATACATGCCTTAACAGGTTTCCCTTGTGTGTTTTTAGGGTTTTGTTGTTTTGCTTTGCAACAGTCAAATGTAGTCTGGGCTGCCTGCGCCTGACCTTGAATTCTGAAATCCTGCCTCTGCCTTCCAAGTGCAGACATTACACATGTGCGTTATCATGCTTGGGCTTGCATTTTTAAAATATATTTATTTCCACTTAAGGTCTACTCTATCACCCTGAGCACCATCAACTAACACAAGTCTACATGATCTCGGCTACTGGATGGCTAGCTGCTCAATGCCCCAGGAATGGGCAACCACACCATCCCTGCTGATGGTCAGATGCTTGGCGCAGAGACTGACAGGGAGGGATGGGGCCTGAACTGAGAATCTCAGTGGAAGTCACACACACCAGTACACAGAGGTACACACAGAGGCAGGAAGTACAGGCTGGATTTAAGAAACAAGCAAACAAACAAAACCATAGTTTCCGGAAAGATAAGCAATTATCAGCAATTAAGGCTCTTGCACACTCGTGTAATCTGGAACTTGGGAGACACTAAGAAAGAAGGCTAGTGAGTGTGAGGCCAGTCTGGGCTACTACAGAGAGACAATGACACCAGGGCCTGAGGAGGTCACTTGGTCAGTACAGAGCATGCTGCATGAGCATGAGGATCCAAGTTCAGGTCCCCAGTGCCCGGGGCAAAGCCTGGCAGCTTCCCTGTGACCCCAGCATTGGGCCCAGAGGGAGGAAATGACTGGGGCTCGCTGGCAGCCAGGTTAGTGGAAATAGTAAATTCTAGGTTCAGTGAGAGACCCTGTCTCAAAAAACAAGGAGATGGTCCAAAGACAGGAAGTGGGTCAAACTAGTGGGTTAAGGCACTTGGCATCAAAGCCTGATGACCCGAGTTCAAGGCTGGGGACCCACACGGTGGGCTGAGACAGCCAACTCCCAGCAGCTGTCTCTGACATCTGTGTGCTCGCTGTGGCATGTGTGGTGCGCGCACACACACACACACACACACACACACACACACACACACGTGCAAATAAATACATACATTACTCTTTAAAAACTATAAAGTGGGAAATGAAAAAGCACTTGATGTAAACTTTTGGCTTCCACAGGCATGTAAACATACATGCACACGCGCGCGCGAGCACACACACACACACACACACACACACACACACGCTCGCGCGCGCGCACACACATGCAATAGCCAGACTATACGGTTAATGAAATAAAAAGCACCATACGACGATCTTAATGCTAACCTAACTGCAGTCCCTGCAGCTCACCGTCTAAGGCCGTTACAAATCACAGCTTGCTCAGCACAGAACGCTTCCGATCCTTACCGTCATCTGGCACTGTTCTTGAGGTACAGTTTAGCACGGCCCCAAACTGAAACACAAACCACTGTGTCACGTATCAGGGGAGGGATCTACAGACAACCCTGTCTGGCTCTAAGTCGCCCCGAACCCGTTTAAGCAAGCAAGGCCATCCCATCCCATATAGGATGTTGGCATAGCAGGAGACATTTTGCACGAGGGGGATCAAACTAACAAAGACAAAATCCAGGAAGGTTTCAGAAATACATGTCTATGCACAGTGTGCGTGAGGAAGAAATGAAGCGAGGAAAAAGAAAAGGAGAAAGAGATAAATCAGAGCCAGACAGATCAGGACTTGAACTGCGTGTCTGAGACTGCGGGACAGGATGCTCCTTATAGTGCGGACAGTATTGGATACGCTTACTGCTAACACTACGTGGTGGGTTGGCTAGCTTGGTGTTCCATGCGGTTGTGAGCTGCCACGTGGGTGCTGGTAACGGAACATGGGTCCTGTGGAAACACAGCCAGTACTCTTGACTGCTAAGCTGTCTCTCCAGTCCTGCCGTTTTGTTGTTATTATGAAGAACCACTACAATCTTCCATGTTCTAGCTCAACACCTGAATGGACCACAGCAGCCAAGTCAGCAGCGAGTTGGAGGAAGTGTTAGGCAAAACAAAGAGGACAGGC